TCAAACTCAACACCCAAAGAACAAATAATCCAATCAAGAAATGGGCAGAAGACATGAACAGACATTTCTGCAAAGAAGACATCCAGATGGCCAACAGACACATGAAAAGTGATCCATGTCACTCGGCATTAGGAAAATACAAATCAAAACCACAATGAGATACCACCTCACACCAGTCAGAATGGCTAAAATTAACAAGTCGGGAAACGACAGATGCTGGGGGGATGCAGAGGAAGGGGAACCCTCCTACACTGTTGGTGGGAATGCAACCTGGTGCAGCCACTCTGGAAAACAGCATGGAGGTTCCTCAAAAAGTTGAAAATAGAGCTACCCTAAGATCCAGCAATCACACTACTGGGTATTTACCCTAAAGATACAAATGTAGTGATCTGAAGGGGCATATGCACCCAAATGTTTATAGAATCAATGTCCACAATAGCCAAACTATGGAAAGAACCTAGATGTCCATCAGCAGATAAATGGATAAAGAAGAAGTGGTATATATCTACAATGGAATATTATGCAGCCATCAAAAGAAATGAAATCTTGCCATTTGCAACAACATGGATGGAACTAGAGGGTATTACGCTGAGCGAAATAAGTCAATCAGAGAAAGACAACTATATAATCTCCCTGATAAGAGGAAGTTGAGAGGCGAAGTGGGGGATCTGAGGGGTAGGGAAGGAAAAAATGAAACAAGATGGGCTTGGGAGGGAGACAAACCATGAGACTCTTTTTTTTTTTTTTTAAGATTTTATTTATTTGACAGACAGATATCACAAGTAGGTAGAGAGGCAGGCAGAGAGAGAGAGGAAGAGAAGCAAACTTCCTGCTGAGCAGAGAGCCTGACGCAGGGCTCGATTCCAGGTTCCTGGGAAAATGACCTGAGCTGAAGGCAGAGGCTTTAACCCATTGAGCCTCCCAGGTGCCCCCCCCCCTTTTTTTTTCCATAAGAGACTCTTAATCTCACAAAACAAACAGGGTTGCCAGGGGAAGGGGGATAGGGAGAGGGTGGTTGGGTTATGGACATTGGGGAGGGTATGTGCTGTGGTGAGTTCTGTGAAGTGTGTAAGCCTGATGACTCACAGACCTGTACCCCTGGGGCTAATAATACATTATATGTTAATTTAAAAAGAGAGAGAGAGAATTTCCTCTAAACATTAAATCTTGATCTTGTGCCAGACCTGAATTTGACTTCTGATTCCTTTGCTTTTGGAAGAACACTGGTGAACAAGAGGAACTAAACTCCTTGCGAGAGCATGAAGCAGAGAATCTGAGAAGATTGAAGAAAATAATTCCAGCAAAAGCAGATATTAGAATGACAGCCAAGAGAACCAGAGCCTAGGGAAAGACCAAGAACAAATGGCATAGTAGAGAATAGGAAGAAGAAAATGAGCATTGAAAGTAACAGGGCAGGGGTACCTGGGTGGCTCAGTGGGTTAAAGCCTCTGCCTTTGGCTCAGGTCATGATCCCAGGGTCCCGTGGTCGGGCTCTCTGCTCAGTGGGGAGCCCGCTTCCCTTCCTCTTTCTCTGCCTGCTACTCTGCCTACTTGTGATCTCTGTCTGTCAAATAAATAAATAAAAATCTTAAAAAAAAAAAAAAAGAAAAAAGAAAGTGACAGGGCAGGGACACCAGTGTGGCTCAGTCCGTTAAGCAACCAACTCTTGATATCAGTTCAGGTCATGAAATCAGGGTCCTGGGATTGAGCTCCATCGGCAGGCTCACTGCTCCACATGGGACAGAGGGGGATGGGGGGGGCATCTGGTTTTTTCCCTCTTCCTCTGCCCCTTCCCCTGCTCGTACTCTCTCCCTCTCTCAAATAAATAAATTTTTTAAAAGTCTAAAGGTAACAGGGTTGTGAGCATGAAAGGTGAAAATAACAAAAAATTCCCCCCGAAGACAGGGCAGTGGAAAAGTCACAAGCAGAGGAGTGGGCAGAATCAGCAGTAGGAAATCGAACCTCGCTTCATCAGGGCAGTACATCTGTCTGTAGCAGATGCTTGGAGAAGCTCACTTGAAGCAATGTTTAATTAAATCTGAGGAACACCTTATTTCAAATTTGATATCCTATTTATATATCATATTTGATGTGATAATACGTGGAAAATTCACAATATTTCACAATTTCCTTGATTTTAATTTAGTCTTATCCTGAAAACACATTTATGTTGATAAATTGTCCTTTAGTTCTTGACCAGTTATATTGTTTTAATTCACTCCTAAACCCAGGGTAAAATAAAGCAAGAAACTGACAGCTGAGTGGTGCCTGGGTGACTCAGTCATTAAGTCTCTGCCTTCAGCTCAGGTCATGATCACAGAGTCCTGGGATTGAGCCCCATATGGAGCCCCACATTGGGCTCCCTTCTCATCAAAAGCCTGCTTTTCCCTCCCACTCCCCCTGCTTGTGTTCCCTCTCAAACTGTGTCTCTCTCTGTCAAATAAATAAATAAAATTAAAAAAAGAAAAAGAAATTATAGCTGAATTTTTAAACCTGTATCTTGGGTAGTCATTCTTAGGAAAGACTATCAGGGAATCTATGGAACAATTTAATTTCTTTCTTCTCTCCTTTGTGAAGTTCCATCACCTGTCAAAAGAAATTCCATATTTAGAATTGCACTGGAGGTTTTGGTAGCATTTATAACAATATATTTTTCTTGCCCATAGGATAAATTTTAAGAATCTTTAATTTACTTTTGAATTTCTGTCCTATTCATTATCTATAATTTGGCAACAACGCCATTCTATGAGACATTTATTAAATAGGACTATTATACTTTCTCACTTACTTTCTTATGTTTGTCTTCTATACTCTAAAAATAAGGAGTGTGATATCCTTTTTTAAATCTGATAGTTAATCTGATCTGCTGAGTAGAGTCATTGATAGGATGAATTGGTTGTTATCAGGCTACAGTCTACTCATTATCTGTGAATTTGCCAAGCCAATCCTCCACTTATGGAAATTAACCCTCCTGTCAAAAAAAAGTTCGTACCCCTGTCTGCCTATGCAAGTCTAATGCTTGAAGACTCCTCAAAAACCCCTTCTAAAAAAATAAAGTCTTTAACAATTTTTTAACCCTTCAGGCATGAGACCACATGTCAGTAAGAAGACAATGTTTTAGAAATGCCCAATGCCAAGTAACAGCCTTGTGACAATCAGTGACAATTGGTCTTCTGCTCATAGGATTTAGCATCTCTGACACTTTTCTGGTTCTCAATAATATAATTTAAAATGTGTTGCCCATATTATCTATAAAATTACATTCCTTGAGGAGAATACTATATAGAACACATTTTTTATTGTCAGCTCTTCCTAACACAGGTACTTACATATAATTTATATCCAAAATTTGCTTGAAAACAATAAAAAAATCTCAGTGAAAACCAATGAGAAAAAAAACATTTCAATCATTTTAATCAAGTGACTCTATAGACAAACCAAAAAGAAAATAAATAAGGTTTATACACCTGTAACCTATTACAATTTAGATTCATTGTACAAAATACTCTGGATATACATTCCAAAAAACTTTTATTGTATCAACAATGTCAAATATTCCAGACAGCAAAATGTAAAACTACAGCATCATTTTTTGATATTCTTTTTAATAGAAGTTTTGCAGTATCTGCATACACTTTTTGACCCCACAACATTCCAGGGAAGTGAAACATGCAGTATATTCAGGTGAGGAAAGTTGGTATCACAGCTAGTAATAATTGACTATTCTATTTTTTTAGAGATTTGATTGATTGATTGATTGATTTGGAGCAAGAGAGCATAAGGTGGGGGCAAGGATCTGAAGCAGACTCCGCGCTGAACACAGAGCCCTACGCAAGGCTCAATCTCACGACCATAGGATCATGACTTGAGCCGAAACCAGCAGTCAGACACTTAACTGACTAAGCCACACAGGCACCCCAATAATTGATCATTCTTTCATTTGCAGATACCCATTTGCAAATGATCTTTGTGCCAACTTTTTTGTGGCATGTTTTTTCCACTTGCAATTTTCCACTTCTGGGCAATGTCTGTAGTGAATACATGATTCCAAGGCTTAATGACTGATCCCACAATATGACAGGTGGACATTCCAAGATTCTGTCCCGGCATTAAACAGGAAATTCTTACCTGCTGTCCCAAAAGCTACTGGAAGGTACAGCAGTATCAGAAATGCGCATCAAACAAACAGACCCTTGGGGAGTGTCACCAATCCTTGTCTTGTGCCTGTTATGGGCTGAATGGTGTCCCCCAAATTCTTCTGTTGAAGTCCTAACTCCTAGTACTTTAGAATGTAACCATATATTGAGATAAAACCTTTTGAAAGGTAATTAAGTTAAAGTGAGTTTTTAAGGGTGATCCCCAACCCGATATGTTTGGTGGTCTTATAAGAAGAGGAGATTAGGACACAGACACACATAACCATGGCATAAGCCATGTGACAACGCAGAGAGAAGCTGGCCACCTGTAAGCTGAAGAAGGGGGTCTTCAGAAGAAACCCACCCTGCTGACACCTTGATTTTGGAATTTTAGCCTCCAAAATCACAAGAAACCAAATAAATTTTTGTTGCTTAAGCTACCTAGTCTGTGATACTTTGTTATGATAGCCTTAGTAAACTAGTAGAATGTTGCAAAAGACAAGGAAACCATTTGAAGATAAATGAGAGTTGACCATAAACGAGAAAATGATTAGAGATATCACACCAAAAATGAGATTGCCGATTCCATGAAAGTGGAAGAAACAAGTGCATATGGCAAGGACGTGTACAGACCACTCAGACAGATTACAGTGTAAACCACTTCATTATTTACCATTTAGTTCAATAAATATCTTTTGCACTGATTTAATGGAGGCAACTTCTTGTGATTTGGTTTCTGGTTAATTTGAAAAACACAACATATTTCTCCATTCTTGAAATGCTTTGTTAATTTCTTATATCTAATTTTGTCATGAATTTATAATTTGTAAAATATTTTTAAATTTCTCAACTTAGTGTTTATGTTTATTCTGCAAATAACCTAATGGTCGATGAACTATCCTTTAAAAATTCTCCACTTAAAATAATTTTTATGGCTTTTCTAAACCAAGGATAAAATAAAGCATAAATCAAAGGGTTCATGGCTGAGTTATAATAAGCACCCCAACAGCAGATCTCATAAATATAGGCAGGCGTTATGAAGCCCATATAGGCATCAACTAGCGTATCAATTGTATACAGTAACCATGAAATCATAAATGCTATCACCATGATACCCAGGGTCTTAGCTGCTTTTCTCTCTCTCTTGGCCACTCTGGATTTGTAACTGTCTGAGGATGACTCTGCTTTGCTACCAGTATTTTCAATTTTTATAGCTTGTTGTTTAGCTATTAGAAAAATCTTACAGTAAAGAATTACCATTACGAGGGTAGGTATGAAGAATAACAGAAAATCTATCAAAACCCAGTCTTGATTTACAACAATTTGACAACCACCTACACACTTGAGAGCACCTACTAATTCCTCCATCCCATCGTCATTGACACCTGTGTAGAACACAGCCCCACTGTATACAATGGGCAGGATCCAGCAGACGCTGACGCACATCCCTGACACAGGCACCGTGAACTTGCTGGGATAGACCAGAGGATCAGTAACAGCAAGGTACCTGTCGATGGAGATGAAGCACAAGTGGAAAAGAGAAGAGTAACAAAATGCCACATCAAAGCAACTGTGCAGGGTACAAAATCTGGCTCCAAAGTACCAGCAGCTCTCCACGGACCTGACCATGCTGAAGGGCATGACGGTCACCCCCACCAGGAAGTCAGCACAAGCCAGAGAGGCGATCAAGAAATTGGCAGGAGAGTGCAGCTCCTTGAAATGAAAAACTGAAGTCATCACCAGGAGGTTTCCAAACACAGCCAGCAAAGAGGCTAAGCCAAACGCTGAGTACCGAATCACCCTGGATCCGAGTGAGTAGGGAGTTTTAAAGCAAGATCCATTCACACTCTCATAGCAAAGATGCAGGACAGCAGGGTGGGAAAGATTGATGCTCATGGCTCTGGAGTTTGGTGCTTCCTGTCTTTCTGCCCTTCCTTGTGGTGGGCAATAAAGTTTTTCAATTCTGAGAATTAAAAAAAAAAATCAAACTTCATAATTGAGCAACTGCTTTTAAGTATTGCCTTAGATTCTGTCCTTTTTCCCATTTTAATCACTAAAAGAAGTTAAGAGAATTTCAGAAAGTTAGAAATGTATCCTTTCTGACTTTAATGCATGCAATTATTTCTGTAATTATGTCTCAGCCTCGCAGATAGTTAATTCCAAGCTAACCTATTATGAGTTGTCATCAAGCCAGAATTCGTATTATCTGAATAATTGAAGAAATGTAATTTAAACACCTGGTTCTTTATACCCCTGAAGTTCTTCATTGCAAAGAAGAGTCAGATATAATATAATCACATATTTGAAAAGTCACCTTTTAATAGACTTCCACCTTCACATTGTCTGAGAGGTTAGCACCTGGAATGTTTTAGGAAGCTGGCCAATTAATTTCACCCATTATGAATTCCTCACAAGGAATCCCTATAGTGTAAGGTGCGAATCTGGAAAGGAAACTTTGGATAATTATGATTAGTAAGTTTTTCTATAAAATGTATGGCTCAGTGCTCTATTCCATTGCAGGAAGACTTGTGATTTTCCCAACCAAGAGATTTCTTTAAGTTCGACTGCCCTGGAATAGTCTCATCCTGTATTTGGCAGTAATGTTACCTGTGTACAAGACTGGCTGTATAATTTGTAGAGCCCAGGGCAAAATAAAAACATGGAGATCTTTTTTTTTCAAAAATAGGTTAAAAAGTACCCTTGAGTATAAAGTTTTTCCTTTTTTTCTGCAGTCTCTCCTGACCGGCCATCATGTTTGACTTTAGTTATAATGTCCCATTTCCTTGGGCATGGAAGTGTTTGTGGGCAAGTGCAGAGCCTCACAGGTGCCTGGAGACAGTGCCGTAGAACTCAACATGCCTGGCCCACCCACTGTCAGTTTTCCCCTCCCCCCAGCTGCTGAAACCATATGCGTGCCCTCTTTGGGGGTCTAGGAAGCTGAGCAAGGCATCTGCCCTACTCTTAGGATGTCACCTCAGCCAAAGGCAGATAGCTGACTCCCTAAGGATTGCAACCTCCACATTTGGATGCATTCAACGTGTGGATTGAGAGTGGTAAGACGGTTGGCCCCGCTAAGCTGCCCTTCTGATGTGCTATGGCCCTACCAGCCTGGATAGGGTAACAACTGCCATGATTTCCCTGAGACCACAGAGGTCTACCTTGCCTCAACCCTCCTTTCCCTGCATCCAGTCCCCCAACATGGCAGTCTTGGTAGGTCAGAGTGAGGAGTGGGAGGTGGGACTGAGCTGAAGGTACAGAAAGGAGGGCTCAGAGGGGGCGGGTAGGGTGACCACGGTTGTGGAAGTGGCAGAGAACTAGTCTAAGGGAGAATACAAAGTGTTGTAATGCAGGACAATCACATGTAATGCAACTTGAGGCTCCACATCCCCCACACATGCTCCATTGTCCTTCAGGACTTCACATATAAAACACAAATTCAAAGATACAATTTTTAAGAATTTCAAGACCACAACAACTGGCATCAAGCCCCAAGAACAGGGCTCTGTGCCACTGGGCTGGTCATGAGCCCACAGAAGGACTCCACTTTATTTCATTTCAGAAATTAAATTATCTCTTTGCAAAAGCAATTAAATGATGAAGAAAAGAAAACTCAATGAAAGCAAGTGCAAAACTGTCAGATGGGAAGGTGTAGAAGCTAAGCGCCAGAGAGTTCAGATAGTAGCAGTACAGAGATATGGACATGGAGAACGTTCATGTTGCTATTCTTGTTTTGTTTTGATTTTGTTATTTATAAAGAAAGACTAATGGGAATGTGAGACCAAAGACTGAGCTCTGTTTGGACAAATTTCACTGTCAAGCAGGAAAGCAAGAAAGCACAGATCTGGGCTGTGGGAGAGTCAGTTCAAGGGAGTATAAATAGGGAATATTTCCTATAGCCAGAGGGCCATGAGCTGCTTTATATCTGGAGAGCAAAGACTCCAAGTGCTGCTGATTGGATGGTGATATCTATATTCATTCTCCAGGCAACCACTGGGCTGACTGGGGGTGTCCACAGACATACATGGGGTGCCTGCCTCAGGATTATGCCATTCTGTTAGTTCCCTATTGCTACTGTAACAAATTAGCACAAGTTTAGGGGTTTAAAGCAATACGTATCTATTATCTTATGGTTCTAGAGATTAGACATTTGAAATAGTTCTCAGGGACTACAGTCAAAATGTTAATGGTGCTGTTTTCCTTCTGGAGGCTCTAGAGGGGAATCAGCTTCCTGCCTTTTCCCACTTCCAGAGACCACTTGCATTTCTGGCTTGCAGTCCTTTCCTCCATCCATATAACCAACAAACAGCACAGGATCTTGAAATCTTTCTCTGACTCCGACATTGACTCCCTCTCTTTCCTCTTTCACTTTTAATGACCCCTGTGACTACATTAGGTCCCCTGGATAATCCAGAATAATCTCTTCATCTCAAATTACCAATCCTTAATTTGACCACATCTGCAAAGTCTCTCTTTGCCATGGTAGGTAACATAGTTACAGATCTACAGATCTGGTGATTAGCACATGGACATCATGGAGGTGAAGGGAGGGGTCACTATTCTGTCCACCACAAGCATCAAACTATTTCTGCTGCTGAGGTCAAGTGTGAGCCCTAGATGACAGCACCCACTCCTCCTGCCCGCTCTCTAAGGTGCCCATCTCTAGGTTGTTGCTCCCAGTTGGATCTGTAAACTTTAGAAGGAAGAGCAGCCATTGTTCAGAAAGAAGCTGGAAAACAAAACCTCTAAATTCTTACCTCTTAAGGCCAAAAACCTTGTTCGAGTGAAAAAAGAAAGATCAGAAAATACAGGGGTGAGATAAAACAGGTTTTTCCTCTTTTACCTTTCCTTCCCCAATGAGATAAAGATTTCATGAGTGTGTTCAGACAAAAAGTCTGAATTAGTTTCTTCATCAACTCTTGTGTTTCAAGTACATGGAGAGGGCAGGCGTATAAAAATGGCGGGGAGAAGTTGTAGGAATGTCCATAAATGAAATCATCATCTCTGCACTCAAGAAACACGAAGACCAAATGTGAGCAAGGCTGACAATGAGAACCTGGTGGTTCCCATGTCCAGAAGCAGCTGGGGAATTCAGAATTTTGACTCCTCTGAAAGGGTCTAAAAGTGTCACACGTCATGCAGGAGATAATGCACAGCTCACCCCTTGAAGCCGGGAGCTGGGAAGAGCCTTCTCACTCCAGGACACATGAGCAAGGATGTTGAAACAAGTGACTTTGCTCCAATTCCACCTAGGACCTTGGTTTTTAGAAAGCTGCTAGTGTAGGGAGAAGTAAGAGCACAAACATAGATTCACAACCAGAAACTGAGCAGAACCACCCAGCAGCTGATTGCCCTGGGTCAGTCACATTTCCAATATGACAGAAAAGCAGGAACCCAAAGCACTAGACCATGATTGTGTTTGAGGATCTTTAGGGCTAGATAGAGACAACTTCACAATTACCAAGCACTTCAAGTGCGTTTAGGTTAGGGGAGAATAAAAGAGAAAGAAATACAAAACCAAACCAACCCACTCATCTGAGATAAGAAAGCACAACAAAAATCCAAAGCCTGTGACAAGATATGATTCTAAAATACAGCCAATGAAATCAACAACTGAAACATGAAATATTCCAGATGAAGTTAATTTCATAGAGCTGTTTAAGAAAGACAAGTACAACTTTAGTGATGTTTCTATTCAAATCTTTTGCTCAAATACGTGTGTCTTGACAGTCAGTGATTGGGAGCTCTTGGAAGAAAGCTTGGAACTCATTTCCAACAAGTGCCTGCAAGAGACACAGGTGCTAGTAACAGCAGATGACACTACGGGAAGAGTCACTTTCCCTCTTTTGTGTCTCCTAGAATATTCAATTCTAGGCATGCCTGGGTGGCTCAGTGGGTTAAACCTCTGTCTTCAGCTCAGGTCATGATCTCAGGGTCCTGGGATGGAGCCCTGCATCAAGCCCCGCATCGAGTCCCACATTGTGCTCTCCGCTCAGCAGGGAGCCTGCTTCCTTTCCCCTCTGCCCCTGCCTACTTTTGATCTCTGTCTGTCAAATAAATAAATAAAATCTTTTTTAAAAAAAAGAATATTCTATTCTATGCAAAATGCATAATAGGTTATTAATAAACATTTAGTGAGGTAGGATCTGGTAGATGATCTTCTGCTTTATTTGCCTTTTCTCTTATTGTTACCATCTTCTTTCTAAATCACTTCCTAACTCCAGTTCCTGCAGTAAATTATGGCCAGAGATTGGTGAATAGGTAAGTGACAGTTTGCTCCTATGAAAAGTTCAATCCATGGTGCTGATTGCTATGAGATGCATAAAGTCTACCACCAACCTCCTCAAATGATGAAGAGAGCAAGCCATGAATCACTGTGGAATGTGTGGACACTGCCGTAACCAGAACCTGCTGCTTCCTTCTGGGAATTTATTCCCACCTATGCGAATAAGTCTAGGCTTCGAGTCTATGCTCCCTAATCTTTCTCACTTGATCATACATGGTAACGCATTTTTATAGACTGACTATATGTGTCCCTTCACAGTTCATGGGTTGAAACGGCATCTCCAATGTAGTGCTCTTTAGAGGTTGGGCTTTTAGGAGGTGGTTCTGTCATGAGGGTGGAGCCCTCATGAGTAAGGCTGGCACCCTTATAGAAAAGGACCCTGAGGTCCCTTGTCCCTGCCTTCATGTGAACACACAGCAGGAAAGAGTCCCTTATGAACCAGGAAGTATGTCCCCACCAGACTTGAATCTGCATGCATCTTTATCTTGGACTTCCCAACCTGCAGAACTGTGAGAAATAAATTCCTGTAGTTTATAGAACATCCAGTGACTGGTCATTTTAATAGCAGCCTGAGCTGACCAAGACACATATGTACTTCACAAGAGGGTAAACT